TATATATATATATATATATATATATAAAGAAAACGTAATCTTAACGGAATCAGAAATATTATTCCTAAATATCTAACTATAGCATACACATACTAGTCTAAAAAGAGTACGTGCTTTTGCAGATGCCTTATAGAAAGAGGAACGTTTGAGCTTTATACTTATACGTTCTTTAATCGAATAAAATTATTTAATTAATTATTAATTAAGGAATAAATCATTAAATAAAAGAGTTTAATAGTCATGTACTTTAAATATATTAAAATATTAACAAGTAAAAAGTCATTGTTTGTATATCTTATGATGAATTTTACGTAAATTTTATTTATTAATAAAATGCAAATGAAAATATTACTATATATATATATATATATAAGTTAATCACTTGTACACTATCAATATAATTTTTTTTACACGGGCAACCAATCAGATATATTAATAGTGTCATGTCCTTTGCTCATTTAATTAAATTAAAATAAAAAAGATACTAGTAACAGATCTGATTGGTTGTCAATATAAAATATATATGTATATGTCACCTAGACTTACTCCGTTCAACAATTCATGTTCTACATCAAATTTTAACGATCCAACTATTCAATTTCAAGTTCTTAATACATGGATCAAATCTGCAAATTTTTAGAAAATTTGAAAATCATGTAATACTTTATTTCATTGATTCAAAATTGACAGATAATCATAAAATCATTTTATATATTGATTCAAATTAATGAAACGAAATATCAAATGATTTTCAAATTTTTTCAAATTTTGCAGATTTGATATATGCATTAAGAACTTGAAATTAAACGGTTGGATCCTTGAAATTTGATGTAAAACATGGATTATTGAACGGAATAAGTCTAGGTAGATTTACTCTTGGAGTAAAAGGATCCATTTTCTCTCTCTCTCTCTCTTTCTCTCTTTCTCTCTCTCTCTCTCTCTCTCTCTCTCTCTCTCTCTCTACCCACCTATTTTTTAGTGGGAGTATGTTAGTAACCTACACCAATTTTTTAGGATAAAAAAACCACTCATTTATTTTGATTTGGTTAATTCGTACAAAGGATATTATAGTAATTTAATTTAATTTTAAATAAAAATAAAATATTTTCTCTCTCTTATTAATTTCATTCTCCAATTCATTTATTTTTCTATTAATTAATTTTTATTTGTTCAGAGAGAGAGGAGGGAGACATCATGAGATATGAGAGAGAAATGAGTTAAAGAAAGAATTTAATAGGAGAGAGATAAATAAGTTAGAGAAAAAATTTAATAAGAAAGAGAAATGAGTTGGAGAAGAAATTTATAAGAGAGAGAAATGATTTAGAGAATGAAATTAATAAGAGAGAAAAAATATTTTATTTTTATTTAAAATTAAATTAAATTACTATAATATCCTTTATACGAATGAACTAAATTAAAATAAATGAGTGATTTTTTTGTCCTAAAAAATTGGTATAGATTGCTAACATACTCTCACTAAAAAATAGGTAGGAGTACATTAACATTCCCCTATATATATATATATATAGAGAGAGAAAATGGATCTTTTTACTCTAAGAGTAAATCTAACCGTACCATTTTCATTAAAATAAAAAAGAAGTTAAGGGTCAAAATGTTGTCTACGTGGTTCTATTCTACTTAGAATCCAAGCATTCCAAGAATATCGATATGAAAGGGAAAAGAAAAGGAAAAAGGAAAAAAAAAACTCATAGCATTGTTGCTGCGTCGGCATAAGTACATCATATTGAAGACCCATTTTGTGAATTCAAAGTTGAGTCCACACACTTTAAAGTACTATATTCCATTTGAACACTTGTTCAGAAAAAGCAAAGTCGCTTTAATCAGAGAAACGCAGAATAGCATGTGGCCACTCGATATCGCTTGTCCTTACAATATTCTAATTCTGATCCTTCACTTCAACACTCTATGGTGCAATGTTGCGTCCAGGTTCACTTGCTTACACCTTTCACAATATTATTCCCATGAACTAAAACAACATTTGAAGCTTAGTTCAAAGAGCATAACCCATTATAAATAGTGGGGTTAGTGACACCATTCCCATGCAAGGACACACATATATATAGCACATCACGTGTCATCTAGTGTTCCCTCCAAAGCTTCAATCAGTAATTGTGATGTTAATAATAAATTAACTAGAATTAATTTCATGTAATGGGATACTTAACTATTTTTATATAATTTGGAATCTCCGAAACTTGTTCATATTTTTTCTATAAGTCAACTATTCTAATAATTACGCTTAAATTGTTCTCATATACGGTGTTATATTAATTTCTTTAAAAGAGTGATAATCCACATAATATATATTCATATAGTTTTACGTTCAAATATCATCTCTCTTGTCGAAAAAGGAAACTAACTTTGCCTTATGAGTAATGTCATACTCGTCATGTTGAAAAAGTTCAAGAGATTATCAACACTACAAAAACAAAATTAACATATAATAACACACATGCTAATATCATAATATTTATCACTAAAAATTACTTTTAACTATATTATAAATATAATATATTTTAATATATTATTAAAAAAGTATAAATATTTATTATAGTGGCACACAACATATGTTATTAAATCTCATTCAAAATAAATACTAAAATTATACATAATTATATGTGAAAT